CTCTCCTCTCTCTCTCTCCTCTCCTCTCCTCTCCTCTCCTCTCCTCTCCTCTCCTCTCCTCTTCCTTCTCCTCCTTCTTTCTTTCTTTCTTTCTTTCTTTCTTTCTTTCTTTCTTTCTTTCTTTCTTTCTTTCTTTCTTTCTTTCTTTCTTTCTTTCCCTTCCTTCCTCTTTCCTTCCTTCCTTCCTTCCTTCCTTCCTCTTCCTTCCTTCTTTCTTTCTTTCTTTCTTTCTTTCTTTCTTTCTTTCTTTCTTTCTTTCTTTCTTTCTTTCTTTCTTTCTTTCTTTTTATGTTGGTTAATCCTCACTAGAGAATATTTTTTTCCAAAGAGGGAGGGGAGAGACAGAGAGAGAGAGAGAGAGGTTGCCTCCCACACTCGCCCTGATTAGGAGGGAGGGAGGAAAAAAACCCAAACCCAGGTACATATCCTTGACAGGGGAATTGAACCCTTGATCCTTGGGTACACAGGTCAATGCTCTAACCATTGATCAACATGGGTCATGTCAGAATCACTCTTTTTAATGACCATCTGTTTTATTGAGTGTGTCCCATAGGTGGCTCTTATTTTTAGCAGCTTATCAAAGCATCCCTTACAGCCACATACTCTCTTTAAAAAAATAAAAATAATCTACATCTGCAGAAAGATCTTAGCACCCCAGTAATGTTTTTGCTATACCTAAGATACTGACATTTCATCCATTAGTCCTACTCTCCTCATATAGCACTCACCTATTTTGTCGACTTTATCACAGGTGACAACTATTTCGTATGATATCAGGTAAGATGCACTTGTCCTCTGATTGCTTAGAAGTAATCCCTAGGCTTCCTTATCTGTGTCTCAATATTCTTTAATAAAATAATAGCTCTCATGCTTCTAACTTTGGAAGGAAATTAGTCAGTGGAACCTAAGACTCTTTACCATTACAAATTTATCCAGATTTAGACACCCAAGGAAGGATGATTTGAATTGACACATGACTTCAGTTTTCATATGTGATGGAAAAAAACCCTGACTATTTATTAAATATTGAGAGACAATTAAATTAAGTGCTAGAGAAAGGGAAATTCTCTTAATTTGCTTATTGTATCCTTTAAGGATTCTAAGGAGAAAACCCTCACTCAATAAACAAGATAATAAACTTAAGAAACTTGTATTTATTGGTAATTTCAACCTGCAGACATTGATAATTTCAGTGCTTCTGAGCAATACATTTTTCAATTTATTCATATAAAAATCTGACATCTTGATTGATTTTATTTGTTTCATGAGTCAGTCAGTGTAGACTGGCATAAATTTTAGCATAAAAAACAATTATTTTCTAAATACACAAATAGAAATAAACTAGAGGCCCTGTGCATAACATTCATGCACTCGGGGAGGCAGGGGGTCCTCAGCCTCACCTGCGCCCTCTTGCAGTCTGGGAGCCCTTGGACATCCTTAGCACTGCTGCTGAGGCAGGAGAGGCTCCTGCCACCACCACTGCGCTCACCAGCCATGAGCCCTGCTTCTGGCTGAGTGGTGCTCCCCCTGTGGGAACACACTGACTACCAGGGGGCAGCTCCTGCATTGAGTGTCTGCCCCCTGGTGGTCAGTGCATGTCATAGCGATTGGTCGTTCCACTGTTCAGTCAATTTGTATATTAGCCTTTTATTATATAGGATTTTGTTTATTACTAAACTATTCCATTTTCTCAGAACTATATTTATTAAAATAACAAAATAACTATACTATTTTTCAGGATCCAGTATTAATAATATATATATATATTTTTTTTTGTTTGTTTGTTTAAATCACAAAGCAAAATTAATTTGGAATGTATAGTCTATTTCCTCTGTTCTGATTTAAAAACTATTCTCTATTGAAAGTGGGGTCTCATAGCCAACACATGTGCGTTGTCTCATTTTCCTTATATAATCCTGAAGTATTTCACTTTCTGCCTTAAATATAATATTCTGGCTGAGTTTCATTTCATTGTCCATACGAATGCTTTTCAGTCCTATCCCAGCTCTATTTCATTCTTGTGCAAGATACTGAATTTTAAATTTGTCTTTTATAACAGTTGTGCTCCTCACACAAAGGAGAGAAAAAAATGGAACTACAAAACTGAAAATTAAATAGGAACTTTTGGTCAGGTAAGAAAGAAATAGGCTAGATCTATAGGGTCAGTGCTGTAGAGATCACATACCATGTGAGCATTTAAATACAAATTACCCTGCCTTTACAGGCACCTTTTCTCATAAGTGTCATCCTTAGAAGGGGGAGCATATTTCAAATTTACTAGACTCTCTGATGACAGGCATCTCTCCTGGTGCTCAGTTTCTTTGTGAGCAATATGAGCTAAAGCCCTACAATCTTCTTGAAAATTTGAAGCTCATGATTAATCTATTCTTCTAGGTTCTGTCAAAAAACTGACACCAATAGTAATCCAGCTTCATAGTTTCATTTAACCACTACATCAAATCTAGCTAATGGGCTAGAATCACAGATAGGCTTGCATGCCCTCTGCTGGATGTTCAAAGAAAATGCTACGCCTTTAGCAGTAAGAAAACCTCATTTGGAAAAAAGGAATGCTCTTTAACATGGGAGGAAAAAAAATCTAGTCCTGTCAGAATTAAAATCAGAGACACTGGGTTAAATAGAAGATTAACAATTTATTGATGAACTACAATGCAGGCAAAGGTTGGTTGAGATGACAGAATTCTTTTATCGTCATGATAATCCTATAATATATGTTAGTGTTATTATTGTGTTATTTGCAGTAGTTTTTAGTAGACCATAAAGAGCATTGGCTATAGAACTTGCAAGTCTCTGTCTGGAAGTAAAAGCCAAGTGATGGAAACTGTAGTACCATTAAAAATAATACAAGCCCAGATGGCGGGGCTCAATGGTTGAGCATCAACCTATCATGCCATTCGATTCCCAGACAGGGTACTTGCCCGGATTGCGGGCTCTATCTCCAGTGTGGGGCATGCAGAAGGCAGCCGATAGATGATTCTCTCTCATTACTCATGTTTTTCTCTCTCTCTCTTTCCCTTTTCCTTTCTCTCTGAAATCAATAAAAAATATTTTTAAAAAATATTAAATATGTTGGGGGGAAAATTCAGACCTTGTACAATAATTAACATATAATAGTCATTCAGTATTTCTTAGATAATAAATGAAAATGTAGCCCTAGTCGGTTTGGCTCAGTAAATAGAGCATTGGCCTGCGAACTGAAAGGTCCCGGATTCGATTCCGGTAAGGGAACATGCCCGGGGTGTGTGTTCGATCCCCAGTGTTGCAGGAGGCAGCCAATCAATGATTCTCTCTCGTCATTGATGTTTCTATCTCTCTCTCCCTCTTCCTTCCTCTCTGAAATCAATAAAAATATATTTGAAAAAATAAATGTAACCTGTGGTACTTAATAAGAGATCTTTGTAAAAAAAAGTTTCTATGAAAGCAAAGTCTTTTTGCTACCAGCCCTATCCACCTGCTTAAACCCTGTCCCCACACTTCCTTCCTCACCTGGATAAATAAACCAAGCGACCAGAGGCCAAGCATGTAGTTTGCTTAGACTTGCTCTGGCACGTAAATGCAACTGTCTTAAAACTAAATTCGGGTCACTTCAACCCGGGCTTGCACTAACTTCTGACAATTCCAGCTGCTGAATCAGTCCCATTTCCAGATGTGCTTACACTTTTATAGGTGTTAATTATAACCCCAAACTGTTCTGAAATGGATTTTAACATACACAACTTATAGGATATGAACAAAAATTCAGAAAATAAATAAAATATTAAATCACCTGTAGTCCCATTACTTAAACACATTTACATTTAACATTTTATTCTTCCATATAGCATGATTTCCTGTTTGTCTTCAATTGTAAGCTATCACTTTGTCAAAATTTATTTGTTTAATTTTATATTTCTTTTTAATTAAAGTAATACATGCATTTAGTTTTAAAAGTCAAATAGTACTGTAGGCTTATTATAAACACGCACACACACACACACACACACACACACACACACACACACACACAACATTATTCTGCTCCACCTAATCCCACATAACATTATCTCTAAAGCTGATTTCTTCAGGGAGTTATTCTCAACTTTTGAGTATTTTGCTTCAGATATTTTCAATCTAATTTCCAAATGATGTACTTTTCATTCATTCTTGATTTTTGTTTTAATTTTAGATATTATTCATTGACTTCCCACAATTGGAGGTTAGGATTTAGCTTTCTCATTATTTTCAGCCACCTTCCTTCACACATTCTTCCCTCTGCCTAGATTGTCAATATGAATAACACCCATTTTAAAACTCAATATTAATCATTTGTATTATTCATAGCTTAACCGTTTTTGAGGATTTATTCCAACTTTTTGTTTTTCTCTGATTCTGGCTCTGGATGTGTCTGAATATCTGTTTGAGTCATTGTTAAATTATGACAATTTTTATTGACTCCATACTAGGAGAGAGATCAGATTAAAACAGAAATATTTAGGCAGAGAAAGCTGCGATGTGTACTAGAGTGGAATCCTAAACTTAATTGAGATCACTGTGTATTAATTACTGTCTTTGAGTATTAATGGAGAAACATTAACTTAGAGATATAGCAAAAAAAAAATGTAACAGCAGTTATCCATTGAGTCCACTAATATACTACTAAAATATGTTCCTGACCAAAATGTTCTCCCTACATTCATTGTTTTGTCTATTTGTCCTTTCCAAGGCTATATTAATTGATCTCTGGGAATTCCCACTAAATGAGAAAAATTGTCCCTAATTTTGATGTTTTGGTCTTACAAATATTTCTAATCTCTTCAATTGATGATCCATAGCTAAAGTTGGCTTGATTTCAGAATTTCTTCATATGGAGGAGGTGCTCCTGAAGTGTTGAAACTTGAAACATGATACAGTTCAGGGTTTTGAGTTGGAAGGTGAATTCCAACAGCTGGATTCACAGCTGCTTCCGTCCCTGGAAAGAGAAAGATGGGGATTTGTAAGTTTTCTACTCAGCATAAAACAGATGTACATGAAGTGCCTAGTAAAATCTGACATTTCTTGAATCACTGGAGCAGCAGAAAATTATTTGTACACTTGGGGGGAAATATGCAATCATCTGAGTCACTATAGCGAGAAAATGTGCTCTCAGGAACTGATGACAGTAGCTGCCCCTTTTTAGTGGTTTGTTTTCTGCAGTTTCAGTTTCCCGAGGTCAACCATGGTCCAAAACTATTAAATGAAGAATTTCAGAAACAAATTATTCACACATTTTAAATTGCATGCTGTTCTGAGCAAAGTGATGAAATCTTGATCCATCTTGCTCAGTCCCACCCAGATGTAAAGCCTCTCTTTGTCCAGCGTATTCTTGTTGTATATGCTACCTGCCCATTAGTCACCAAGTAGCCTTCTTGGTTATCATGTTGTAAAGGTATTACAGTGTTTTTGCTCAAATAATTCTTACTTCACTTAATTATGTCTCCAAAGCCATCCACATAACTTTTATTAGAATATAATGTTATAATCATTTTATTTTATTATTATTGTTAATCTCTTTCTGTGTCTAATTTATACATTAAACTTTATCATAGGTTTTTATGTATATAGAAAAACATAGGATAGATAGTATATTTATTAGGTACTATCCACAGCTTCTGACATCGACTGGGGGTCTTAGTCACCCTTGCAGATAAGAGGGGAATACTGTACACCACCATCAAAAAGCGTTTACAATTCAGCAGCTGAAACTAGAATAAATAGCATTTTTGGTGGGACAGAAGACAAGATGCCTCCATCTGGTAATGGCATTTTAGCTAACGCTCCCATCATGGGAAACACAAATCTCACTAGAAACATTAAAATATTACATCTAAACTTCATTATTTTATATTTATGTTCTGAAAATCACAACTAGTATAATTACTTTAAAATTTTCTTTATGATAAATAGTAAAAATGTTAAGTTGTGAAAAATCTGCAATTAAAGTATACCACACAATGAGGAAGAAGCATTCTTACATTTTAAATTTTGAAGTCAAAGTTCTTCACTTTTAGGTTGCACATACTACAGCGCTATTATATAGCAAAAACAAGCATCTTCATCCTCAAACTGATCACCTCAAGGGACCATGCACTTATGAATAGCTCTTTAGCAAATCTTCTATTAGTATTTTCCTGAAAGACTTTTGGAGCCACAAGAAATCACTAGCAATATCTTATAACCATTTCTTTCTTCATATCCTTTCCTTTTATTTTTTCATATGGGCCTTTACCTGTCTGGGAGTCATTTGATTGCTTCTCCCCCAAACAATAGTAACAACCTTTAAATTCACCTTTAAAGAAGAAACTATGCTCTTAACCTAAACAGTCAAATTCTTTGCCTGCTTCTGTAAATTAAATTTAATTGTGTTACAGCCATACCCATTCATTTATAGCTTCTCTGTGGCTGTTTTTTTGCATCATGGTGGCAGAGGTAAATAGTCCCACAGAAACTCTATGGCCTGCAAAGTTAAACATAGCTCCTATCTGGCCCTTAATTGCGTTTGCTGACCTCTTCCTTAAAGGATTAAGATTTGATGCCATGGAGGAGATTCCTTTTACCATGCCACTATCATGAAAACAATTTAGAGTAGTTATATATTAGGCAATAGCTGCATCATAGGAATCAATAAATAGATTGCTCAAAATTGCTATTTTGTAATGAATAACATTTATTTAGAATCATGGATCTTCATATATTTATATTTGCTTTATTTTGTATCTCACTGGTTTGTAGAGCAAAGCATAAAAACTCAAATATTAATACAATATGTAAAGGTAGAGTTATATTTAGAATATGTCTTACCTCCTGGTTCAGCATTCTTTTAAAGGAGTTATTTATTTAAGATTAATCTACTTCTGGATGATTATATAATCTTTCTGTTTCTCATTTTTCTTTTATGTAGTAAAAGAATAATGATGGTATTTACATCTATAAAAGCAAGGCTAAATAAGTGTAAAGTATATAAAACAAAGCCTGGTGCACAGTAATTACTCATTAATGTTTAATTATCATTACTATTAGTATAAATACTAATATTATTAGTACACATTAAGAACTATACTATGTTACAAATGTGCATATTTTCTTTTATTTACAATATCATTTTCCAATCTATCCCATTTTAATGGTCAAATAATGTTTTAATCATTATCATTATTAACATTATAACAGAAATTATTCAATGAAAAATTTTGTGGCATTAGTCTTTTGCAGTTAGGAAGTTTAGGGTGATGTCAGCTAAGTGTGAGGGACTTGATAAAACAGTTAACATTGATAAAGTACACTTGTCCCAGCACTTCTCTCCATTGTGGATACTTGTACTGAGCCCCGCCCATTCTCCAGGTGAATGCTACTGGAGTGTTCAATACAAAGTCAATGGTAACTTAGCTATCATTCTGCTGGAGTCCTCAATCAGACTGACCTGACACAATTATCAGCTCAAATGGGTTTCCATCACTAACATTATCAATACTGGGCTCCAGGTAACAGGATATCGACCATTGCCCTCTGTGGTAGGAAAGTTTTACTGTTACCTCCTTACTACAGATTTGTCTGTTGCTCTCAAACTTGCTATGAAAACCACAAGACAATCATTTGATAAACAATTAATAAACAACTAAGACAATGTATTCAGAGCTTTCATAAAGTCAAACATATCTGTTTTCAATTTGTTTCATATCATGTTTATGTATAAAATCACATGATTAGGAGGGGAGCAGACATTATTTTTATCTTTGGACAAATTAAGAATCTGAGTTAAAAGTTAAAAATTCCTGCCTGGCCGGTTGCTCAGTGGTTAGAGAATCTGTCCGCAGACTGCAGGCTTGTGGATTCAATTCCTGGTTAAAGGCATGTTCCTTGGTTGCAGGTTCAATCCCTGCGTCCAGTCTGGGCGTGTGCAGGAGGCAACCAATCCATGTGTCTCTCGCACATAATGTTTCTCTCCTTCTTTCTCTTTCTCACTCTCCCCCTCTTCCCTCCCTTCCACTTTCTCTAAAAAAATAAATGGAAAAAATAGTATCTGGTGAAGATTTTAAAAAAGTTAAAAATCCTATGGTTTTAACAGAACTGTTGGTGAAGGTATTAGAGTCTGTTGTTTAAGTGTGTAAACCAATACACTCACTGCTGAGTTTTTGTAAGCAGATTTCAGATTTCCCACACAATTAATAATCACTCCCATGAACTTGGATTATGTTAATTTGCCCTTTCGACCTCTTTTTTTTTTTTTTTTAATCTTTTCCCTTCTCTATCTCATCCTGTTCTTTTATATGGGGGTAGCTAAGAATGCCTGAATTCCAGTCACAGTTCTTTCATCTACTGTGTTACTTAATCTCTAAGCACCTTTGTTCTATCATCTTTAGAAGGTTCAGAATGATAGTGAGCCCCTCATAGAGGTATAGGAGGAAAGAAATGAAATTGGAGATATCAGGTGTTACCACAGAGCATGACACATGGTAAATGCTCAATAAATGTGAGCGGTAACTATTATCATGCCTGTCCATGAAAGTGTGTAAATAAAATACTCTCTTTCCTTACCTAAAGGAGTCACAGAATATTTACATGTAGAGCATAAAGTATAGGGAAGTGACATTTAAAAAAGGATCCTAACACAAGATGGAATCCTGGGTGTGATGGGGGAAGAAGGGAGCACAGTGTAAGACCTGCTCTTTTCTGTCTCTCTCCTATCCTCCTTCCCCTCCTCAACTTGAAGCATTCACATTTAATGGCTGCTGGAAGACTGGTATTTCTATTTGCCTTGAAATAAGAAAAAGGAAAGATTATCTCTGAAATAGCAGAAGAAATGGGGTCAGGGTAATTGGATAGTTGAAAGCATCATCAGGGAAATCAGATCTGAGAAGCTAAGCCAAAATGAGTGTCCCCAGTAGGGGCCTCAGAAGGTTCTCACCTCCAGGTCTTCTCAGGAATACAGGGGACCTGCTTGCTGCTGTCAGGGCTGAAGGACCCAGCTCTGAATACACATGAAATAGAAAGAGTTCAATGCAGATTTTATAGTAACTTATTATTTTTTGTTTAAAAACATGGAAAGATAATGGCAGGGAGCCTTCTCCTAGTCTCTCAAATTCTCTTTTCTAACAAACACTTAGATTGTTTTTCTGCCTCATACTCTTCATCCCTCTCTCACCTCCCAAACCCCACATTTTGTTCTCTTTATTATCTTTAACTGACTTACTGATACCATTTTAATAACCTGGTTAACATTTAACAGAAAAAGGAGTAAAAGGGAAGACTAGATATAGGCATGCCATTTATGCAGCATTGTTAAAAGCTACATTTAACACTAAGTCTGATCCATGGGGGAAGGGACTAGACCAGGGGTGGGCAACCCCTGGCACATGTGCCAAACATGGCACGCCAGTAACTTTTGCTGGCACGCGAAACCCTCTCTTACAATCTTCCATTTAAAATTTTTTTCTTAATATCGACTTCTTTATTTTTCAGATAAATTCTGCGTAGGTGCATCTTAGCTAAATAATTTTACATAACAAGTTACCTTAAAGACCATAGACATGGATTGACGAGAGAGGGGAAGAGCAATTTCTATGCCTCTGCCTTAACTCTCCCTGCCTTCCTAGATCCGACCAGTGTTTTGGTTTCATCCACATATGCTTGTGAATCTTTGTTCTCAGTGATGAATTTTATTAAGTCTCGTAATAGGAGTATCCTGACGGATGAAAGTAGTAGCTCATGCATATCTCTGAAGCTCACGAAATATAAACCTGATGTAAAATCTCTGTCATCAGTGATGCAGCAGCAAAAGTCCTACTGATAATATCAAATGGAGTCATAAAGTTTTCTGTCAGACTATCAATGTACATGTATACATTAAAAAATAAATGTATTTTTCATCATCATATACTGTGTTTTTGTCACTCGAATGAATTTTATTATTTCTTCAAGGTTCTTCACATACGTACACCTTAAGAGATATCAAGTAGGCATAACATGTTCTCAAAAAATTAGGGTTGGCACGCAGAAGAATTTTGAGTCAGAGATTTTGCTGGTTTTGGCACGCACTCACAAAAAGGTTGCCCACCCCTGGACTAGACAAAGGCAGTTTAGACACAAGCCCAGTAAAAGTCTGAGGGACCTAATAAAATACTTGCCCATCAATCACACCTAGGAATAGGTAATTGGCCAGGATGGTGGTGGCCACAGCAAGCTTGCAAAATCTAAATATATACACTTCCAAAAAAAGGAAAGTCACTCTCTCTCTCATGCCTCCCCTTTAGGGACTCATGCTAGAGGGGGAGGGGGAAGAGGAGGAAGGAGTTGTGCTCCCTTGCGCTCAAACGGTGCAAGCCATGAATGTTGGGCTTTACACATGAACTAAATTTAATCTGCCCTGAATGCCGAACCGCACCTGACTGCAACATGGAACAGAAAATCTGGGCACTGGCTCTGCTGAACCCCCAGCTACCTCTCTTTCAGGACTGGCTTGAGGGAAATGGGACATTTCAAACCAAGGGATGTAACTATATGACTAAAAATCTTCTACCTCTTAATCATCTCGTGAGGGCTTCTAAAAATGCTTATTTCAGCTGTGCCCCCAGAGCTCCACAAACATCGGAGGGCACCCCCTACTCATGTACCCAGCTGGCGGCAGCGTTACTTTATAAATAAGGGCTTTTATGCAACTTCATAACCTTATTTTAAATGGAAACATACTATTATTCACATTTTCAGTGAATTATGAAAACACTTGCTTATAATAAATTTTAAAACTCCTTTTAATGACTCCTTTGTCATTACTTATTTTTTCAAACATGAATTTAAAAAATAAACCAAACAATTAATCTAAGAAACCCAAAACATTTTTGTTTTCTTTTTTCCCCCCACGTAGGTGCCCCCAGAACTCTACCTATTCTCCTTGTTATATAGTCCTTGGTCTTACAAAGTGGGGAGTATTGATCACAAATGATAGAAATTTGGGATAGAAAGGGTTGTGTGAGAATTTTAATTTTCTCTTCTTGTATCTCCACCTTTACTAAATTGATACATTCCTTTAAAAAAATCATTTTCCATGGCCCAATATGAGTTCTCACTCTAGATTTACACATTTGAGGAGGGGTGTGGGGGAAACAATGGGTTGTAAATCTGTGTATTCTGTTGAATTATCAGAAAGGAGGGATTCCAGAAACTTCATTAACATAGGTAAAATAATGAGATTACAAAACAACAGTGAAACACTACATTATTTTTACTGCTGACACAGGTGCTTAAAATCACAAACCTGAATTATACTTGAATTGTTAGTCTCTGATGGTTGAAAGAGGAGAGCAAGAAGGTCTCAGATTACTGCATGGATTTACCTCATTCAAGAAGACATAAGGGCAGTGAATGGGTCCTTTCTGAGATTATAAAAGAGTGGGAATAGAAAACAGGATCAGAGGTGTTGGGGGTGGAGGAAGGATAATGAGGGGAAAAGGGTCTAACTAGGAGATCTTGGGGCCACGTCAGGAAGAAGAGTTGGGCCTGAAGCAGAGCAAAATAACATGATTTTAGGGATTACATAAAATCAACAGGTTTTCATGTTAGTCCTTAAAGTATCTTCAGCTCCAAACTATAGGTTCCTTTTCCTCTTACTTTTCATCATCTCGTCTCCTTCTCTTTCTTCTGGTCTTTCTCTTCCTCTTCTTTCTCTAACAATGCCTCCTTTTTCTTCTTACCCTCAGGTGTCAGATAGATTAATTTTCCCTTATTGGGGCATAAAGAGCTTAGTCATTACATAGTACAGACTTGGAAACATAGACCCTACGAGAGGGGAAGAAAACCTGAGAGATCTGAGCACTGGATCAGCAGAGAACTGTGAAAATATATGACTATTGGCCCAGGAGATGCTATTGGGGGCAGGGTGTTTGCTGAGATTTCCAAGGACCTTTCCCAGACAAAAACCTCATCCGACATTCAGATGGGCTGGGCTATAAGGCCTTCCTTAAACACCTTTGATGAGGTTCCCAAACAAGTGTTTTCCTCTCTCTCTTTAATATTTCTAATCAAGATAATTGGCAACCTGAGCCATGTAATATTGTCAGGAACTGCTAGTGAGAGAACATTCCTATTTTATGTACTTAAATCAGTAAAGTTCAGTCCACTCCAGCCTCTAATAATCAGTCAAAATTATCCTCTTGGCTCTATTCAGTTGAGGCAACTTCCATGGGATCCTGAGAGTCAAACCTCTCAATAACAGGTCAGAAGAGCAGAGCTATTTCAACTAATATATTCAGCAAATAGTGATAATAACATGAAATGAGTTCTGGAAAATAAAATAAAGGTCTAGGAGGAACGCAAGGTGAATATAGCAAATCTAGTCTCTCCATTAAGATGTTTTAAATGACCCACTTTCTACATTCTGTAGTCAGAGGGAACAATCTATTATGCCCTTTGTGCTGCAGGGGTGACAGGAAGTCCAGACACCCTTATTTCATATTCTAACATATCACCAGTGTCCTCCAATGAGTTCTCATTCCACCCCAATTCTGAACAGAGGCTATGAGGAAGAATCAGAATTGCACCCCATATCCTGAAGTGCACCCCATATCCTGAAGTGCACCCCATATCCTGCAGATTGAGCATATAAAACCAACAGTAACGGCACTCAGCTCCAAGCTGTGAGCACATAGTTTGTGTGGGTTGTGGGGGTAGAGGCTGTGGTTTGGGCCCTTCCCTCCCTTTTTAACCATACAAAGATCCTGGTAGTGGTTTCCTCACTTCCCTTTTGGAAAATAGCTCCTTCTTTGGAAATACTAGGTAGGAAGAATCATTTGTTTAGAGAAGTGAAAGCATAGTGAGGATACAGTAGGGAAAGAAAATCCAGTGTGGGTCTGGGTTTCAGACTACCAGACCGCTGTACCGATTTTTAGGTAATTTCCACACAAAGGTGGAATATTGGCGCTAGATGAAAGGTAGGTGAAAGGTAGACCTATTTTCTACAATGTCTCCAAGTTCCATCTTATTCTAACCACTTGTTTACATGTAACTAACATTTTTCTATATCATGTTGTTTTTTTCTCTTTAATGCTCAGGAGCCCAGGTATAGGGGACAGTTAGGTTCAGGGCCTCAGGTCTGGTAGACTTAAAATATTGACTCCCTGGTATTTACTTCCCAAAATTGCTACTTAAGAAGACATGACTAGAGATCACAGAGAATACCACTTCCTAAATTACTCTTTTATATTTTGTTTTAGAAAGGAGAACTAAAAAGGCCAAGAAGCACAACTCGGGGAGTCACATCCACATCAAAGGCTAAGTGAATGGCTGTTCATGGCCTGTACAGACCTGCTGAGCATCCAGAGGATAGGAAGGGAGATGGTCAATGGATGGAACAACCTAATATCCAACCTAGTGCAGATGAAGGAAAGAATTAATAGGGAGGGGCAACAGAAACTGCGGCCTCCTAAGATGGAAATCAGTAAAAGTGAACTTTGCAATGCAGATTAAGCTGAGGAGAGATTAATTGTTCCTGATCAAAGTAAGATGCAGAGCTATACCTGTGGAATTAATGAGGAATGGAGAGAATAAGGAAGGGAATGAGGACTCTGGAGAGCAATCTCTATCATTAAGGAATTGCAATATGGAAACATCTGGAGACACAGGATATAGGTTGTACTTAATGTAGGTGGCTAAACCACGAGTGCCTGCCCATATTTTGTTTAGCTTCCTAACCTTAATTCTGGGTAAGTTGAAGTCGATTAGTTGACTTACAGCAAAGATCTATGTGGTGCATTTATTCAATAGAGTGAGAAAAGTAGATAACATCCTCTGGGAGAAGTAATAGCCACTTTTCCAAGCCGTTTTTAGGAACTAGAGATAATCTCTGAGAAGTCCTTGACCTACTGCCTAACACTTGGTAGATGTGAATTAAATTGGGACTATGTTATTTAAAGAAAACAAAACAATTTTCCCCAAGTATTTTCTTTCCTGTTCATAATGACTTCAGGATACTATAGAGAATGTGATGCTAATGCCCTGCACTCAGTGCTATTATATGCAGATTTCTGAAGAAGCATATCAGCTTTGATCCCTTCTCTCAGTCATACCTGCTCAGACAAGTTCAAGTAAATTCAAAAGCATGCATATGAATCACCATCCAGGAAATGTGAAAACATTAGATAAATTGGGATATAACATATAACCGTGGCACATAGATTGTCTTAAAATTATAACAGTATAAGTGGGTAACTTACTCAAATTAAATATATATATATATATAGATATAGATATAGATATAGATATAGATATAGATATAGATATAGATATAGATATAGATATATATGTGTGTATATATATATTTAAAGATTCCAGGAAGTCTAGAAAAGTCTTCCTTAGAGTAACGGTAGGGCTAAGAGGATCAGGGGGAATTCTCCTCTTTAGAAACTCAAGTAAGTTGAAAGGAACATAACTGTATTTGTTTATTGAATACCTCTAGTTAAATAAAGAAAATAAGACCAAAATTACTGTGTTGACCCCTTTGATTCATGTATTTTGTTAAAAGGTCAGTGGCCCTATTTTCCTCTGTGTTCAGAGGACAGTAATTTTAAGTTTAGGAGAAAGAACTATTTTCATCGGAGATTTTAATTATTTCTCCAAACACCCATTTCTCAGATTGACACTGTTTCCCTGGTAAGTAATGACTTAAAAAAAGTCAATAGTGAATATAATCACCAAACCTTACGGTAATGAATTTTGATATTAAAACATTTTATTTTATTCACATCCCACTTTTTATTTTGCTTTTAGTTTTTCCAGGACATGCCCTACACTCTCTATGGGAAATCTTATCTGGCCCAAGTTTCTGAAGTGCAGTTGTCAATCTCTACTAAGCACTCTAGAGGCAATTGTGGTATACAGTGCTGTGATTTAGAGGGAAGGTCTCAGAACAGATGTTCTGGGTGAGGACAAGGCCTGGAATTAACAATGACTCTATGACCTCAGTTTTCTCCATTGCTTGCCTCCTACTAAAGACTGGACAATAATAGAAAGGGTATGGTTTGAGGGGCAGGGGTGGAAGAAGGCAGGATCAGGATGCTGCCAATGTTTCTAGGAAGAAAAAATATGAATATTTATACCCCCCTGCCAATTCCAAATTTTCAGATTCTGCATTGGCAGCAATCTGAAAAGTGTGGTTCAATGTTACTGTAGGTAAGTGAGGTATAGAGAGTTTAGTAAATGAGACTATGAACACAGGGTAGTATCAACTGATAAAAAAAACTCAGAAATACTTCTCTGCACCTTAAACCCTACACTCACTTGAAGTGACCAACCTTGTATAGGTCCTCTTTTCTTCATGTCAACTGAGCAAAATATTTAGGTTCTATCCCCATACTTAACTATAAATCATTTTCTTAAGACACGTGATTTTTTCTATTGGGGGTCTTCCTTCTTCTGAAGTTTTCTCACTTAGACTCTCTCCCCAATGCATGCCTTTCAATCTTCGATAAACTATGTCTTGTTGTAAGTTCACAAATCTGATTTTCAGAGATTAGATTTCTAATTCACCACAAAATCATAAGGTTTCAAAGACCAAGGCCAGAAATGTGCAGAGAGCCTACCATAAACAGGGTCCAAGTCGCCGACAGCAAAAACAGCCACGGTGCGTCTTGAGGAACCGATCCCGCATCTCCTCAGCCAGCAGGGAAGGCAGAAGAGCACTGCTCCGCATAGCAGAGCCACCAGGAAAATTAGGAGCAAGAACCTGGTGCCAGAAGAATCAGAAGAGGATTGAGGTGGAGCACGCAGGAAACTTAAGTCTCCTATTACACCCTGAAAAGGGGCAAGAACTCAGCAAGACTGGCTACAAGCAATGTGAGAGGCTGAATTCCTTAAGCAACCCCTCCCCACACCACCACCACCATTTGTACATTTTCACTGAACCTGGAATATAAGCTGAGCTCAGAGTGGGTTGATTTTGCCAGGTGATTAGAATTGTTTTCGCTTTGAAATTTGGAAGGTTGTTCTCAGGGGCAGTGTCTTGGTTCTTCAATCCACTTACCCATTTTTCCTTTCATTCAACCATAAATCCATTCATTCCACCAGGATTTAAACAACTGAACAGACTTTAGATGTTGGGGTTGGGGATTCAAAGGTTGACAAGATAAGCCTGGCTGGCCTTGGCTAGGTGGTTGAGTATTGACCTATGAACCAGGAGGTTACAGTTCAGATTCATAGTCTGGGCACATGCCTGGGTTGTGAGCTCAATCCCCAGTTGGGGGCTTGCAGGAGGCAACCGATCAATGATTCTCTCTCATCATTGATGTTTCTATCTCTCTCTCTCTTCCTTTCCCCTCCTTTCTGAAGTCAATAATTAAAAAGAAAAGATGGACAAGATAAGACATGGTCTCTGTCTTTGAGGAGCTACCTAAAGGAGAAAATTGGTAATATTTAATTTGTAAAATATAAGAGTCAACATTTAGGATGGTATAATAACTTTTAAAATTTCTAAAAGCCTAACTCATAAAAGAGGCAGCAGTCTTATTTTGAATGATTTTTAAGGCCAGAACTAAAATCAGTAGAAGAGGCATTTCAGAAGATATCAAGAGAAGGAAGAATAATTTTACTTTTAAAGATTTTCAACCAGGGAGAAAATTATTATTATTCTTAGAAATAGTAAGTTCCCTCTTATAGAAAACACTTAAGTAAACACTGGACAACAACCTGAAAGTAATGTTTCTACATATATTGATTCATATGACCTCTATTATTTTCTTAATAGGTATGATTTCATGTGCCATATCAGTTATTTAGTAAAAGGAATATGTATATACTACCAAAGATTTTTATAAAACAACTTGAGGTCTGATGCATGAATTTGTGCGTGGGTGGGGTCCCTTGGCCTGGCTGGTGATCAAGATCTATCAGGGCATCAGCCGGCCAGGGGAAGTGACCCCAGGAGGTTGGCCAGCCTGTCAGGGGGGCAAGCTGGCCTGGGGGAAGGGCCATGGGAGATTGGCTATGGGAGCACACTGACCACGAGGGGGCAACTCCTGCATTGAGTGTCTGCCCCCTGGTGGTCAGTGTGCATCATTGCAACTTGTCTACTGGTGATTCCAATTGTTCTGGTCATTCGATCATAATGGCCCCTTAGGCTTTTATATATATAGAAGTGAAGATGTCCTTACCAGATATACCAGTCATTTGGGTATTGATTTTTATAGTTTACGTACCTAGTGACAAAGAAAGAACAATTAGTGTTGGACCTCTAAGTGGCCCAAACCTATTCTTTTGCACCATAATATTTTTTCTGATTACACCTGTTTCCCCAACAATAATTTACTCACTGCAAGGCCCCCAGCACAATTGGTAAATGTTTCCCATGTGTCCACGTCATTCAAGGCGCTGAGGATACATGTGAGTGGAAACTGTCAGATACTTAAAAACAGATAATTGCATAGTAACAGGTTTGATGCCGGAGTTAAAAATACTGTAGTACATTGAGAAGATAGTGACTAACTTTTCAGGACTACCATGTGATAGGTATTAGGAGATAACCGTTCCACTATTCTGTCTATTCAGAGACCTGGAGTCCTTTAAAATGCAAATTATCCAGGGAAGATCATAGTGCCTATTAACCTTGGATGTCTTGGTAGAGAATAGCAGCCCTGCAATCCTGGTTGGAAAAATAAATTAGGATAAAAGGAAAATGAATGAGTGTGGCCATATACACCATGTACCAAAGAGTTAGAAGTTGATCTGTGAGTCAGGATGGTCAAACTATTTATGTGCTTCAGCATAACTTAATTGTTCTTAAGATAAGTTTAAAAAGATCACATTTTGGTTCACAGTGTGATTTTTAGGAGGTATAACTCCCCAGGTTTAGACACATGTGCTGTTCATTCTAGAGTCCCTTGCTATGCTACACATAGTGCTTTGAATGTATGCTTGCTGATGGACATTTTTCAACCTCGGTAGATGGGCTGATGTTACAGTGTTCTGGGATTAACGAGTTGAAGGCTGTTCATCACAGCCCGATAAGCTTCTGAGATGGCGCTGCACTTAATCACGTTTTCTTCAGCCTTTGTTAAAATAACACTCGGCACATTTCAGCTTGAAAGCTTTCATAAATGTCAGCTAATTTATTGCTCACAGCCTCCCTAAGGAGAAAGTGTGTCCTGTTTATCACAGTACTCTTCAGCAATGACTTTTTAACATATGTGATTGTGAACTTAAAAATTCTACCCCAAATATTTAAGACAAAACTCAATCATCCAGAGAATAAGTTTCATGGGGTGTTTGTTTGTTTTGCACCTAGAGAATTTAGCCAAATGCACATGTATAGATGGCTAGGAAAAATGACAGCTGAAGTGTGACTTTTAAAAAAATCATCCTAAGACAAGTGATCACCAATAGAGGATTTAAAAAATAATGGTACTTCCTTTTAAAGAAATATTATATATTCATCAAAAATGTAGATTTATATTTATAGTTAAAAGCCTTGATAAGTAAAATAATAAAGAGGATCATTTCTACTTTGTATACATTTTTAATACAAATATAATGACTTCACAAAATAAGTATTATATAGTTATATATACACATACATCAAATTACTAACAATGTTTGCTTCACTTGAAGATGGATGTCATGAGGCACTTTATCTTTTCAATATTTTTATATTGGTTACATTTTTATAATGTACATACATCACTTTTGTAGTCATAAAAAATTAAATATCACATTGAAATATATAAATTTTTAAAATGTAGCATCCTACTTTAGAGATGGATGCAGGAAACTTTTCTTGGTGATTTAGCCAAATAAAGTAACAGAAGGTTCTTGTTTTTGAGTCTTGAAATCTAAGCTCATGATCAGGAATGTGGATTGTTTTATTTCCCTCCATATATAAATCTCTGCTTCTTTTCTTTACATTTAAAAATAGACTATATACTTATTATACTTTCAACTAGAGGCCCGGTGCATGAAATTAATGTACTGGCGGGGAGGGGGTCCCTCAGCCTGGCCTGTGCCCTCTCTCAGTCTGGGAGCCCTGCGATCAATCACCCCCACAGAGGGAGGCCCCGCCCACCTGCCACAGCTTGCTGGTCAGTGGCCTGGGCCTCCCTCTGCAGGGTGATCATGGGGCAATAGCCAGGCCCCCAGCCAATCGCATCGCACCTGTCTTGGCTGGCCTGGCACCAATAGGTGTCATAGCATGGTTGTCCGGATGGTCACTCAGATGGTCGTTCCACTGTTTGGCCATTCGGTCGATTTGCATATTATGCTTTTATTATTATAGATTCTAAATTTAACTATCTCATTTTATTTCCTAGGTTTAATTTTTTTAGTCACTCAATATTTTTTCCAGTGCTAACAGTTTTGCAAACTGACTTATTTCACTTTCTCTGTCTGAATCTGTGAACCTACTGATGGATTTTCTGATATGTAACAAAATGGTCTAGAAGCAGTTAGCTGAAGAAATGCAAAGTGATCATATAATTTAGGAACTACAGGAACCTTTGGGATAATTTATTTCCCCCTTAGGATTTTACATACTTTATCACTGAGACCAAGAGTGGAAAAATAATTGGGGAGGTCACTAGCTGCCCCCAAACTTAAACTACAATATGGGTCTTTGGACTTGGTGTACTTTCTTCCACATCATTATTTCTGTGTCTTTCTCAAGTTCAATTTTTAAACAGAAATTCTTTGTGTTATTAAAAAAATATCCGAACTGTGACAATATTCCAATTACTCAAATTTTAGATGTAAGATTTTCAGTGTAGTAAAAGTTACATTTTTTAAGATAAAGTTATTGCTCAGATATTTATATATGCTTGGTGAAATTGAAATAATGATGCCAAAAGAAAAGAAATCTGGGAAAAGTGAGAACTGATGTTTATTACTTTTCTCACTGGTGATAATCTGTGGACCTATGATGAACTACAAACTCATTACTTTGATAAATTTAAGAACTCAGAATGCATCCCAGTCATTAAGTGACACATGGCTGTGAAGGGAACTAAACTTTTGCCTTTTGGGATATTCATTTTAAGCTATTTTTTAAAAAACAAAAGATTCAGAATCAACCTTTGACTTTTTCCCTTTCTAAGAGATTCAGATGGGAAGGCCTACTCAAAGAAGGGAATCTTAGGATATTAACCTTAGTTTAATTTAAATTAAGTAGGATAAATAAGAGGGCTTCAGTCAAAGTCCAATTAGCTAGATACCCTGTGTTCCATTGTTTCTGAGTTTCCCAGCAAATACTTACCTGCCTTGTATGTTCTACTCTTCCTCTCCTCAGTTACCAGAAAATGGCCCAGTCTCACTTTTGCAATCTAAGATCCAGTCCCCTTCTTTCTCCTTTGCAAAAATGACATTGACACCCAATTTTGCCCAATTATATTTGGAATTTTCATGCTTATGTCAATTTCCCATGGACATGTATTAAAATTCTGGTTTTCTCCTATCAATCTGTCTCTATTAATTTAATTGTTAGCCCTTTCAGAAAAACATAGAAGATGGGAGGAAAAGTATTATATATACTAGAGGCCAAATGCATGAAATTCGTGCAAGGGGCTCGGCCTTCACAGCCCTGGCTTCATCCTGAAGGTCGTCTGGAAGGTTGTCTGGACAGTCATTCCACTGTTCAGCCTTCCAGTCTAATTAACATATTACACTTTTATTATTATAAATTTTTAGCCCCCACAACTGTATATCTGCACTTTGAAAGCTACACATACTATAGGTTAGAAATGTCATTATTCTGCTTATATTTGAAACTGATTTATCTGGAAAGCTACCCCCCATCACCAATGTGATTTATGGGTATGTATGCAGCCATATAGGATGTAATAATTCTTTTATGAATGTAAAGTACCCTGAAACCTCAAAGGTGGAGAATGCTGTGAGCAAAAATACCTATAAATTAACTAGGCCCCTTATTTATTTAACAAAGCTGATCATAATAAAAGTGCATTTTTCCCTGCTTTTAGAAAAATCGAGCCATTTGCATTTAAAACAATTTACCTTTATTTTTCTTACATGGTTATAATGGTCATTTGGAACTCATTTGGGGTTTCTTAAAACTTGAGCCCTTTTTTTATTCTTTGAATTTTGAAAATGTCTCTTGCTATTTACTTACATTTCATTTTCTTCACATGGTGGGTCCGAGAGCACCAACTGAAACACATGTTTAGAACAAATAAAATCCAAACATCTCATCAGTCTAATCCTTTAATACAACAGCACTTAGAGACAATGTGGGTTTTTATAATTTTGTTTCTGTAAGTAATGCTCACAGCCGACTCAGCTATTGTCAGGCGAACAGAATTTTAATTGAAAAAACAAAACAAAACAAAAACAATCTCTGGGTAGGTTTTCCAGCTCAGCAGTGACAGGAGATATGTATTGTAAACCAGATTTCTATCCTACACATAATTATAGATAGATGAAAAAATCTTTTTTTTTTCTATAGGCAGATTTTGCTTGCTCTAAAAAAGCTTTTATGCACCTTGCTTTCTTTCTTTGTTTTCAAATTTTAGATAGATGGAGGAGGTTAATTATTTTATTATTTCCCACACAGACATCAAGTTCTCTACGTAAAACAGAAGTCCATGCCATTAGCAATATTGGGTATTAACTATATGCATGAAGGAGTGACTTTAACCTGCTTTAAGGCAAAGGTCAGTTTAAGAGCACATGACATTCTTGTTGAGATTTACATTTCTCTCTTTATCAAAGAAGAAGGGAAAAGTAATAGTCTTCATGGCTTTGTTTTAAAAGACCCAAAGCATGAGCAATGCTACACAATTATCTTAGTTCTGTGTGTTGAGCTTTACAGTTTACGGTAACTCGCATCACAGAGGAAATAAAGTGCTCCTTTCTTAAGGTTTTGTTTGTTTTTCCCTTGACTTGAGACTCCTCCTGTGTACAACAGAAACATTTTTAAATGTCCTTTATAAATAGTCCTAAATATGGGTTGATGAGGTTAGTGAAGTGTGGCTTTTCCTGGTCTATAACACAGAAGTATAAAACCAAGTAAGTAGTTACAAAAATTTAAAATGGTACACATAGGAATTTTGTGGGAGATGTCTTTTTTTCCTTATTATTAATCTCAAACGCATCTTTGTCAGCACCTTATATTTACTCCACCAGGTTTATCTGGGCAAAGAGATTTGTGGAGTCACAGATGGAGCCATGAATTGGCCGTCAGAGAGCGTGGTAATGAACAATTTATGAGCACAGAACATGACTTGTACTCTCTTTTGCTAGAATGCTGAAAATAGATTTGGATACTAACTGGGAGGAAAATGAACATTCAAATTTTGTCCATAAAGAGAGTTTATGTATGACTAGATGAAATCATTTGGGATCCAGTTGAACAGATAAACAAATAAAGCCAGCATTTCACTTTGAAGTCATTTCCTAATCTTCTGGTGTGCTATACCCTAGCAAGGAGTGAGCACACAGTATCACATTAGTACCACCCCTCAGCCAAGGCAGTAGCTGTCAGACTCTGGGTTGTCAGGAAATGGGGAGCAAATTCTTAATCTATTTCAGAACTAAATCATTCAGATACTTTGCATTCAAGTAACACATATGCAGAGATGCAGGTATTACTCTTGAGTGAGATGCTAGAGTAGAGGGGAAACAAAATAAACTACCATGGTTCTGTCTACATTGTTCAGCAATGGGAAACTCTCAAGCATCAAGTGTGGTTGCAGGCAAGAGTAAACAAGTATGTCTTAAATCAGCCCTACCATAGCATTTTGATATGATATGATATTTTTATTCTAAAAAAATGTTTCACAGCATAGCAAAGATTACATTGCATCATCTTACTTCAATAGCAATAGAACTAAATCAAGTAGAAATAAGACTAATAGCATGGGTCATTTTGTTTTCTGTAGCTTTGACCAATAAATATAAGTAGTAATACAATCCTGGTAACACTTCCTTAAAGGAAATCTTCGAAATGTATGAGTTAAGTTTCCCCAAATAACAAATCAATAACCAATCAGGTCCTTAGAGTACCTCTGAAAATCTTTTCCCAGAAAGAGAGATGTTACCTGGAATAGTGGCAAACACCAGGTTCCCGTTTTGGAGATCACTGAAGTGAAACTAAAAGGACTGGATCTCGACATGCTTAAAGGACAAGCTGCTCAAAGATAGTGGTTTGCTGTCCGTGTTAATTTCCCTCTTCCTCAGAACTTGCTAGCTTCTCTATAAATTATGCTTCTTACCAGAGCACTCATTAACGATGGCTCCTTGTGACTGGTAAAGTGCATGCTGGGGGTAGGAATGTTGGATGTGTGGTCACAGGTACCGAGAGTTCAAGGAATTTCAGGTTAAGGTCAGAACCTTGGAACTGTTTGTCAAGCCCTTAAAAGCCAGGGTTATACATGCTGATCTGCAACACTGGCTGGCTGCTTAAAGAACTTAGGATATTCAAGTGCATGTTTTATTCCAGGGTATTTCTGGGTTTTATATAAAATCTTTTTTGTACTTGGAACATTTACTTGGCTTTCTCCCCTTTGTTGGTCCTCTTTGCTCTTCTTTTCCTACACATCGTTTTTAGTCCCAGATCTTACCTAACCTTGGGCATAAAGCTTTTCCTGCCTCATAACGATCACACCTTATTTTTAAACAGGTCATATTTCAATGCTTATTTTAATAAAACAACTCCAACACAGCTGCCAACAAAAATGTTTGCCAAAATACTTAGGGAAATTCTGAAAAAGAACAATGAAGAGTCATTAACTACTATATATTAAGATACTATAGTAGTAGAAAAATGTACAAAAATTGGTACTGTTGCACATAAACAATAAGATTATTGTACAAGGATAGTTTAGAAATAAGTGAGAATAAACATAGAGATTTATTTTTACTGCCATTTCAAAGCAGTGTGGAATAGATGTTATTTAGGGAATGATGAACAACTGAGTGGTTAGATGGAAAGAATCTTCAAATGCCTAAGCACATTCTCAATTAGAGAAATATAACTTACAAGTATAATCACATTGGCAAGCTTAAAAAATTGATAATATAGTGAGAGGAGATAGATGTGGGGAGGCAAGCCTTCTCACACATGGTTGGGAAAACTGTATAGCCTCACTGGAGGGCAATTAGGCAATATTTCTTAATCTAAAAACTGAATATATCCTTTGGCCATGAATTCTCCTTTCAGGGATGCGTCTTACAGATATTATTACATGTGGCACAAATAATTACAAGCAATGATGTTCACTGAAGCATTGTTGCTAATAACAACATATTAGAAACAGCCAGTCTCCATCAAAATGCGACTGATTAAATACAAAATGATTATATCCACTCAACAGAATACTAGGCTGCTGTTTAAAAAGGTAATGGAAAATCACAGATGCTGTTGTGAAAAGGCTTCCATGAGTTATTAAAGGAAATAAAATGTAGAACATTGTATTCTACAATCATGCTACCTTTTATGTAATAAATAAACAAATATAGCTATACTGTTTTTTTACCATATAAAACTTAAACATATATACTCATATATACATAGACTATCTCTGCTTGAAACTATTAAACTGTAAAAGAGAGAGTCTGAGTCAGGCCGGCATGGCTCGGTGGTTGAGCATTGATCTATGAACCAGGAGGTCACGGTTCTATTCCCGGTCAGGGCACATGCCTGGGTTGCGGTTCAATCCCCAGTGGGGGAAGTGTGCTTGATTCTCTCTCATCATTGATATTTCTATCTCTCCCTTCCTCTCTGAAATCAATAAAAATGTATATAAAAAATAAAAGGGAGAGTCAGGAAATAAAAGTAGAAGGTAAATTTACTTTTCACTGTTAGTTTCTTATATGTTTAATTTTAAAAGAATTCTCTATATGTAATCTTATCCTTTTATACAGATATTTCTATAGGCAAATTCAAGTCATCTAGAATTCAGAACAAGCATGTTGTAGTTCAGACCCCATAGAGTTCACTGAATCTAATTCAGATGACTATATATTAATTTATTTATGACCACATACATAGATTGCTCTAGAAACAAGCCAGCCATGTTAGTTATCTAAACTACCATTCTGAACTGGCCATTAAGGTATATGGATTAGCCGAGCTGCATCTGGACACTAAGCAGGCTGTGGCGGCCTCGGTCTGTTTAGTATGCAGCCACAGACACAGCCATGAATTTCAAAGCACAGGAAGGGCTTGGTGCCAATGCCAATAGGAGATAAGTAAACCAAGCCTACAGTATTATTTGTCCCTAAGACACCCTTCATTCTGAGTGTCTCTGAAGCCTGTAATTAAATAGAATGAAAAAATGGGCTTTTCACTCGTGAACTTATTTATTAGGCGGTGGGTCAGAAGCCTCACTTCCATAGGTGGAGTCAATGATCTTACGGATTCCTAGGAAAGGAAGGGCAGGTCAGATGACTAAAAAGAATGGAATGGAAACAAGGGCAGCATGTTTGGTTTAGCTTTAAAAGCTGAAACTATGACCAACTAGATACATAGATTAAATAATTTTTATGAAAAAAAAAATGGTCCCAAAGCAGATGGCTGACTGGGAGTGTGGCAGCTGATTGAAGGTGGATCTATAGTCACAGTAATACTGCAAGCAACACTATAATATTTGATGCTAAAATTAATATATAGATCTATATATCTATATATAACCACATTTCTCTTCCCTGATTGCTGTGCAACTGTTTACCTCTGTGACTTTCTCACTCCACTCTGAAAGGCCAGCATTGTAGATCCTGCCTAAGGCAGTAGTTTCCCTAGTGCATTCCTTTCCCATCATCATAACAGTTTGATGGTCTCCATAAAAGAAATCTGCCCATGAATGTCTTTTACCTGCATAAATTTTAAAACATTTTATTTTTATGTAATTTTAGATTCACATGAAGTTTAAAAAAATACAGAGATATCATATATTCTTCACCCAGTTGTCCCCAATAGAAACTTAATTAATATACAATATGACAACCAGAAATTTGGCAGTGATACATCCACTGCCTGCATGATTTTTGTAACTTATATTTTATCATTTAAAATTTTTGATTAAGCCAATAATTGTACCCATGCATGCTTATGTGCATAAACTTATGGTAGCGAGTTACCATCACTGGGCTTTCAACCTGAACATGGATGATGGCTATCCATAACAATATGATCTCCTCACTAATAGTATATGGATTTCTGATGTTTGAATATAAGGGTGGAAGTAAGCAAAACTCTTAGAAAGAATCAAGAAGAAGAAGAAAGAGGACATATACTATGATAATATATGAGATTACAATCAAAAGATTTATTGGGTGCTTGGATGTTGGACCCTGTAATTCTCATCTTTTTAACAGAGAATGGTAGATGCATGTTTAATGGTACAGTGCTGATCATTTACCCAGCTTTTCTCCTATGCTAGGAGGAAGTAAATCCTGTAGGAAAGGCTGGAGATGAGGGGATATAAAAACTAGCCTCTGGATTTGGAGCCTGGCAGAAGTCTAAATTCCATGAAGCTCTAAAGTCATACTGATATTTGTCCTTAAAGGTCATGGTGTGCAGCTGCTCAAAAAAATCCGGGGACCAAAATTCAAGGGATTAAGTAAGAATAAATAGAAGGTATGAAAAGAAGTGAGCAATGCATCAAGAAAGGTTCAAAGAACAAGAAAGGAAGCATCAGCCCTAGCCAGTTTGCTCAGTGGCTAGAGTTCGGCCTGAGGACTGAAGGGTCCCAGGTTCAATTCTGGTCAAGGGCACGTGCCCAGGTTGCAGGTTCGATCCCCAGTATGGGGTGTGCAGGAGGCAGCCCATCAATGATTCTGTCTCATCATTGATGTTTCTCTCTCTCCTTCTCCCTTCCTCTCTGAATTTTTTTTTTAAAAAAGGAGCATCAGTTCCTCTTTTTCTGGGAATTAAAGGAACAGGGTAAGGTTCTAGTAGTCAGAAGGCCTTGGCTGAATTGATCTTCTCTACAAACTATGTTCTACAAAACAATGATGATAACATTTGCTTATTTCCCTCACAAAATTTTTGTAAAAGTCAACTTGAAAATATTAACATAAAATCAGGCAAGGCACAGACATAAGGAATTGATTACTGTAGCATAATAAAACAAGATAAAGAATTCAAAAATCAGATTGGTTCATGAAAAGGATGGGAGCCAGGTTATGTAAGGAGCACTTTAAGTAAGGCAGCTTGTCTGGTTGTTGGTTTAACCATTTGCATCTCCCCAGTGAGGAGAAGTATTGATTATATTGCTAAACCAATGGTCAATTTTTAGTCTTCCTCTTACTTGACTTAATTGCCAGCATTTGACATGGGTACTCACTTCACTTTTACTTTTTTCACCTGGCTTCCAGAAGAATACATTTACTGATTTCTCTCCCACTTTATTGACTGTTTTCTCCTGTTTTCCCTCATCTCTTTAGACTTAATATGTTAGGGCTACACTAAGACTGAACTTTGACTTCTTTCTTTCCTATATTCTTTCACATTTTGGGGAATTTTACTCAGTCTCATAGATTTTCATCTATAAATTAACAGCTCCAAAATGCATATGTCCAGTCCAGATCTCTTTCCTGAATTTCTTTAACCAACTTCCAACTCTTTGTCACCATTTGGATGTGTCTATTAAACTTCTGCAAGTAAACTTGCCTCAAATCTAGCTTCTGATTTTCCCATCTGCCCTCTACCTGTTTATTCCCATAGATCTTTCCTATATCAGTAAATCTTTTTCTTTGGTTTTCAGACTCAAAAGACTTGTAAACATTTTTGAATTCTCTCTTTCATAGAGAGAGATGGTAATCTACAATCAACCAGCCAATTCTGTAGTTTCTACTTTCAAGATATATACAATCCCCACCACTTTTTATTACCTTCGCCAGAAACTCTTCACCTGAACTACTCACCAATCACCATCATCTGTCACCTGAATTAGTTCAATAGCTTCCTAGCAAGTCTTTCTGCTTTACCTTGCCTGCTTACAATCTACTACTTAACATAGCAACCACAGTGATGTTCTCCTCCATAAGTTAGATCCTGTCACTCTTCTGCACAAAACTCAAGTGGTTTCATATTTCCCTTCGTGAAAAAGGGAAGTCCCTGAAGTGGCTTACAAAACCTCACAAGGTCTGTCCTCTCTTTTCTTTCCGGCCTCATGTTCTACTGGTATCCTCTTGAGTCATTCTGTTCCAGGTACACTGGCCTCCTTGCTTTTCCTAGAAATTCCCAGGTATTCTCCTGGGCCTTTGCATTTGCTGTTCCTTGCATC